CACTGACCATGCGTCATTACGCACGGCAGTGAACAGCCCGCACCTTTCACAACGAATGGCGCGGTGGTTGTCATTCTTTGCAGAATACAACTTTACGGTTGAGTACAAACCAGGACGACTTAATGTCGTCGCTGATGCACTCTCACGTCGTCCCGACTTTGAAACAGTCGCGAAACCCAACAGTGAGACAGTCACTGTTGCGGTTATGACGTCCTCAGTTCCATCTACAATGTTGTATGATGATGTGAGGCGGGCTTACGCCCAAGATGGTGAGATAGTGAAGTTGTTATCACATCTCTCCCAACCATCCCGAGAATCGTTGAAACGATTGTCGCCTGCGTATCGATCTGCATCAGATCGATACACTACTCGTAACGGTTTACTGTATTATACAGCCGTTTCTGGTGACACACCACGTGTTGTCATCCCAGATGATACTGATCTGCGTTTGCGGATCATGTTCGAGTATCACGATGCTCCTATAGGAGGACATCGTGGCCGAGAGAAAACATATCTCACGGTAAGTCGAGACTTTTACTGGCCCCGCCAGTATCAGTTTGTGCGAAAGTATGTTCGCGCATGCGAAGTCTGCCAACGAGTGAAGTCAAGTCCTTCACTGCGTGCACCTTTACAGCCTCTACCGGTTCCGGCTGAGTGCTGGGAATCCATCTCAATGGATTTCGTCTTCGGGTTACCCAAAGACGCACGCGGGAATACGGGTATTCTCGTATTTGTTGACAGATTCAGCAAAATGGTACACCTTGTGGCTGTACCAGAGACAATCACGGCAAGTGGCTGTGCTTGTGTCTTTATTGACACCATCTTCCGACTTCATGGGTTGCCCCGTGAACTCGTATCAGACAGAGATCCACGATTCACTGCTGATTTCTGGCGGTCCGTGTTCAAATCACTCGGAACGCGCTTGAAGATGTCAACATCTGATCATCCAGAGTCAGATGGTCAGACGGAACGTGCCAATCGTGTCCTTGAAGAGATACTTCGAGGATACGTACACTCCTTTAAGAGTTGGAGTGAGTTTTTGCCAATGGTAGAGTTTGCCATCAACAACTCGGTGCATGCGTCCACGACACATACACCGTTTTACGTGAATGGCTTGCGCCATCCGCGTGTACCCACCTTACTAGAGTGTAACTCTGGTTCAAGGGGGGGAGGGACTCGCGCGAGCAAAAACCGAATTGTTTCACGCTCATCACGCTCTGACGAAGAAGTCATTGCGTTTGATGCCGATATCGATAACATCGATATCGAAGAATATGATGCCAGTGAGAGTGCGGAAGCCCTCACTGAAGACAATGATCCCAGCGAGAGTGCGGAAGCCCTCACTGAAGAAAAGGTTGTTGTTGCTGCAGTGCGCTCACAGCACACTGAAGCTAACGAGTCATCAGATAAGTTCATACTGGCTCGTGAAACGGTAGTCCGTTTTGTGCAAGACTCCATCGCCGAAGCGGTGGATAAGCAAAAGCAAAACGCTGACAAGAATGGAAGGGCAAACACTCTTTTATTTAATAAAGGTGACTTAGTCCTACTGTCTACGGTTAATCTACCAAAGCATGTAGTGACTAACTTGGGTAGCAGTAAACTACTACCCAAGTACATTGGCCCATTTCGTGTATTGCACCGCCTAGGCAATGCATACACGATCGAGTTACCACGTAAGATGCGAACGCATCCCACGTTTTACGTTGGTCGGCTTAAGCCGTACCATCAGTACGCTGCTTCTTCCGATGAAGAACGCCCTTGCGCTCAAGCATCTCGCAGAGAGCCTTGTGCTCCCGATGGTGGGCATCAACAAGGGTCTGAAGAGCAGCTATCTGATCCCGAGACCGATCAACAATCCCACGAGCTACCCTTAGCTCGTCACGAAGAGATGTCAGAGCTCTCTCGTTCTCAAGCTGAGCAAAGGCAAACTCAGCTCGATGCTTCGAGGCAGTGTCCACCATCTGGAGACGCTTATTCCGCTCATGCTCGAGATCGTCGCGTAACCCTTGCGTTACGCGATCAAAGAAGCTCTCGGGAACACACCGATCCACATGATCGTGTGGAGAGCGTCTTTCCTCCTCCTCCACCTCCATTAGAGGACTCTCGCGGTGGCCAGCGCTATCTAGTTGAGCAGCTGTTGAACCACCGCGACGTGAACGGACGTCGGACGAGTTACCTCGTCCGGTGGCGCGGCTATCCCCCGTCCTGGGATTCTTGGGAGCCCCGCTCCCAATTGATGGTTGACGTACTGGGTCTGGTCGAGCAGTACGACGCGGCACATCCTGTGCCGCAGAAGGACCGCCGGAGAAAGTCTTCCCGGCACGGTCGTAAAGGGATTTCAGGTTGTCAATCCCTTCGTACATCTCAGTAGAGACACGTACGCGCCACCACGGGCTGGTAAGGAGGTAAGCCTCCTTAGGTGCTCGTGCAGAGTTGTTCACACAACATGGGCACGAGTCTCCCCAAGAGAGGCAGGGTAATCCTTTCTCCCTTGACAGACGATGCAGCTTGTAGCGTGCACCTGTCGGGGTTCGCTTTTCAAACTTATCACGAGCTTTGATAAGTTTGTCGTTCCAAGCGTCACGACCTACATCCTCGAGGTTATGGATGTAGGCGTTCCACGCCTGAAGTAGTGAGGGACCATCACGTTTGTGATTCCCACTGTACCATCGATGTCTGAAGAAAGCATCGATGAAGAACTCATGTTCAGCGCGATAGTCTTTCGCGCTGGGGTCAAGGTGATGGATCCTTGACGAATCGAACAATCGTGTTCGATAACGATCACTCGTCGTCGCCGACAAGTGATCCATGACAGATTTTGGAGGCATCCATGCCTTCTTTTCTGGAGCGAGACGCAACACATTGCGGTCCCGCTCTTCCTGCGACGTGCCGACAGAAGTACTGGCACCTCGCTGTGAAGTGGTGTCCATTGGAGATCCGACACCACTATTAGCGCCCGAGTCTCGCGACCTCGAGCGCCTTCGCTTCGGCGATGGTTCATCTGATTCATCAGATGAACCAAAGATGCTGCGACGCAAAGCATCGTCCATGCCACGCTTGGCAGGCGGCTTAGATTCAATCGCCGTCGATACGGATCCGTCATCCGTATCAGGAGAGTACGAGACACCGAGCTCGTACTCTGTGAAGACACGAGTGTCTTCATGACCAGCGCCTGCGTCACCAAGTGACACAGGCTGGGTCTCTTCAGCAACCGATGAGACATCAGTTGCTGTTGTTTCTGCTTCGGCGTCCGCACAGAGACGTGCAGACGCGCTCTCGGCGGCCTTGCTCGCGCATCGCATGGGCTTGTTTACCATGCGATGAAATGTTGGAAAGTGGACGCGGACCAACAAGTGCAAACCCTGTCCCAAATGATTTGGGACGAGTATCCATTTAGTCAATCAGTCACTAAAGTGACTGATGGTTAAGGGGGTGATGTAACGGGGTGAATCGTTACATAACAATTTATAAGAAATTGTTAATAGAATATAACTATAAGAGTTATATTCTCAGAATATTGTCATAAGGACAAATATTCTGTAGCACTTCCAAGTAGTTCCTAATTGGTTGATATAGGCCATTATATCAACCAACGAAGATGCGCCACGACAGACGCACGCAATGAGTGGTGAGCAGATAACTGATTTACACATTTGTATTTAGACATAGTTAGATGAAGATAAATAGTGATTTATTGCAGATATTAACTATTATAAATACAGTTCTACTTTTTACTCTAACCAAGTACTCGCTTCTTCTTACCGTCTTCCTCTGCACGTACTAGTGTACGTGAAGTTACGAGGCACCGCCTTATTCTGTTATCAGAATAAGTAGCTTGTACTGTCACCAGTACAAGCTTCAGGGTGCCCCGTTACAGATGTACTGCCAAAACTGAACGAGGCTGGCCTGTTACAGATCATCGAGATATTTCAGATCCCATACTCATGCCTCATCGCTTCTAATTTCTATCTCAAGTAGGAATGTTTCGTACAGCATACCGCACCAGCTGCCAACAAATCCGTTCGTGGCTACGCAGCCCGTAGGCGGCCGGATTTGTTTTTGCCTGATAACGTGGCGATACGTATGAGGATAGAGATAAGGTGCAACAACGCGAATCAAACAGACGTGCAGCAAAAGTGTAAAATTGACATAATCGTGAGCGACCAATCACCATTGCGCTGGACACATGCTGAGATGGCAAGATGTGCGGCATAGATGAGCTAGAGAGTGAGTGAGTGAGCTTCATTGAGGTACTTATAAAATCTCTAATGGCTAGGATGGGGGTTTACACCGCCAAGCTATGAAAAAAAGAAAAAACAGGGGCTATACAGCTACCCTCCGACCGTAGGAAGCAACCGCCGAAAGAGCAGAAATACTTGGACCCGGGGTATGTGTTGGAGGAAATGCCTGCCACTCGTGCACGTCAGTGCGGAGAAACCGTTGCACTCTTGCAATCAGTGGTCGATTGTCAGTAGCGCACGTTTGCTGTGACGTTTTGGAGTCCATCGCAATATTCGCAGCCAAGTCTGCCATTTTGTTGTTCGCGCGGTAGTGATGAGACCACCCGCAGAATCCTAGGCTATCCGCACATCTTCTCGCCTTGAGATAAAGTTGTCGGAGTCGGGGTTGACGCGGAGGCCGATGCCGTCGCATTTGCTGGATAATTAAAGAGCTGTCACCGACCACGTACAATGGTGTGAGATGTCTAGTTTCAGCGTGACGGAGGCCATGAATAAGCCCCCAATATTCTGCTTTGTTGTTGGTTGTGCTGTTATGCGCATATGACATGCTCGCCGCCCAGGTAATCTCTGATGCTCGCGTGTCCAGATCAACACGGACCATGACCGAACCGGATCCGCCTGGACCGGAATTACCACGCGAGCCGCCATAAAAAAAAGCACATAGGCGCTCCGGTCTCGAATCGGTGGCGAGAGAATCGTCCCGTCACTCGTCCCCTTGAGACGATCAGCCTGCGCCCTGGTAGCGGCATTCTTCGGAAGTTATGAAATATCCGTGTCGAATTTATAACTCAATGAAACCAAATCGCGCAAGGCATTGTCTACTGTAGCGCAAATTACCGCCCGCAATGTCGATTGAAGCGCATCTGGCTCGTGGCGGAGACGAAGTCGCGCACACCAGATGGCTTGAATTGTTGCCGCCACCGTCAGTCTCCACAAATCCCTGGAAACCTCGTACAACACATCACGATGCTCGGTACCTGCAGCACGAACATGATCACATACCGTTCGCCACGCACGTGTCGGCGTATCGTCTAGGTCCAAACTGAAGCACGATTCAATAAGGTTAGCAGGCACGTTGTCGCCGAGACGCCTCCATCGAATGTCAAAGTCTTTCCATGCTGCCTTTGCAATAGGGCACTCCCAGAAGACGTGTTGAAAGCTAATAGGTACGTCTCGGGGACACTCGCCATGTGGACAAGAACGTTCACTGTGCACATAGTTCCATAAATTCAGCTTGTTGGCCTTCAATCGAAAAAGTGTCTGTACCGTAGAAGCCCCAGCTCCCTTTACTGCCCGAATGTCACGCCAATCCAGCTGGGATAGTGCACAATGCAGGTCCTTATTATTTGTAGCTTGAACAGCGATTGCCCGATCTCTCTCCACAGTCCCTTGTGCCACACGCTGCCCGGAAACAGCCTCCTTGTACCGCGCCCGATTAAAACGCCAATTAGCCCCAGTGTGAAGCTGCACAAGTCGCGACAATGCAGGATGATCATGAAAGCGGAAGTCCCGCTTATTGATGTCTGCACGGGCTCGGAGTTCACAGTCGTACCGCGACTGGACTGGGACTGATGTATACACGATCGTGTTATTCGAGAAGACAGTGCTCTTTGCATTTTCAGAAAGGCGCCACGAAAGATTCGACGAAGGGCTAGCATCAATCGGTCTCAATAGCGATGGTGAGCGCGGTTGAAGGAAAAGCGTGGGATAATTGCACACAATCGCCTTGCACAGGACCGAGGCCGCACGCCGAATTGCCGGTGACCGTGAACGCTGAAGCTCGAACTTGATGGTTCCATCCCCGTGCCATATCCACGTCAGGAGATCACGAAGCGTTTGCCACTGTTCTCCACGCCGCAGGAGAGGTATATTGACGTCCTCTCCCCGTCCATTGATCAACCTTTGCCTCGTATCGAGTCCCACCCGACCTAGCCACTCGTGGCAGAAAGTTCCACGTATGCACTGCTCGCCGACCGCTTTACTTGCAATGGCTTGTACCGTGGCAGTATCGATACGAAATGTTAACGTATCGCCCTCCCAGTAGGCAGCTGAAATATGCCGACGCAAGAGAGACTCAGTTGCTGCAACACATCCAGCCTTAGACAAATCAATAGGGACGCTATGCACACCACGAATTACAGCTGCTCCGCTGGCTCACATGGTGTCGGAGACCGTAAAACACTTAGGGGTTGTGCATGGCTTATCCGGAGTAAGGTACACATCAACTCCAGCTCTCCTTGCCAGCAATATGTCACCCGCGACTCGAGCTGGCCCATTCGAAAAAGATGCCCATTTACCGACCGCATTGGCCGCCATAGCAAGCAGCTTTGTTGATACATGTTTGATAGCAATCCACCCAACACACACACGTAAACCGGCCTGTGTTTCACTCATCCACGCTCGAGATGGCACACCTTGTCGCGATCCCCAAACAAAACGCTTGACCAAAAGCTGTAGCGAGTCGATAACCTCACGGGTAGGCCACGAGTGTCTCGCGAGAAACGTGACCCTGGGAATGATTAAGCCGAGTCTAATAGAGCTCGGCTCCTGACCGTGTTTGTCTTTCGTCTGGCTAGCACAAGCCGAGCATTGAGTGAGACTAGGCATGCACTCCAATTGTCCCGAACCGTCCGTCCATCCCCAATTAAAACGCCAAGATACCTGCACCTCTCGCCCGCCCGCCTGTAACAGCTTAACACCGTGCAAAAGTGTGGGGTCAATGCTCACACCGGCACACAGAGGAACCGCCACAGACTTCGAAGCATTAATGACCAGCCCAGAAGCCGCCCCAAATCGCATTAGAGTCCGCATGACCACAGACACTTCCTCCGGGGACTGAACGTACACAGCAGTATCATCCGCGTACCCGCATACCTTGTAGATGAGCTAGAGAAGCATGGGAATGTACGTGTGATGCTTGTCTTCTTGCACCATTATCGACAACGCTATGTCCGATGAAGTACTTGGAGTACTCGAACAAGCGCATTCCCAAAATAAACTGGTAGGGGTCGACTATAACATTCAGATACCCACTTGTCTTTTGCAGCACAAAAATGGAAAGTATATTATCGTTTAGCTTTCTCTTCGGTCTCACCTACTTGTCGTACGTGAATCCCATCAGCCTGTTCAATAGGAAAAATTGCCCGGGCGTCGCTTCTCACATCGTTTCGCATCCACGTTGTCACCAATTGATAAGGAGTATTTGGTACTCTCCATGTTGACGTCTTCATCAGGAGCTTGGGCACCATCACTCGTAGTATCCTCGACTTCATCTACATCCATTTCTTCGGGAACTGACGAATCTGGTTCATGAGAAGTTGTGCCAGAACGGAAGCACAATCGTCGAGGTCATGATCATCGCGTACATGTTCGCTACTGCCATTAAAATAAATGACAGTTTTATACGAGTCAGGTGGTCGTTCATTCAGACCCACCGATCGAGTGACGACGACTCGATTTAACTCGAAGTCCCATACTCGATATGCCTATAAAGTTTCTGAGTATCCAAGGAACATACACTGATTGGCCTTGGAGTCCAACTTTGTCCTTCTACTATCGTCAATCCGGTAATAACCACTTGAACCGAAGACTTACAAGTAGCTCAAATCTGGTTTGGTCCCAGTCAATGATTCCCATGGAGCATTGTCAACCTGTGTGCTGTTATCAACTCGATTAATTGTGTGTGCAACTGTCATAAGCGCTTCAGCCCGCCACACACGATCTACATGCATGTGCGTCAGCAATGCTCGAGTCGCTTAACCAAGAGAGCGACTCATTCGCTCTGCAAGACGTTTTGTTGAGTAGAGTAAGGTGCCCGAGTCTGATGCTCGATCCTTTAATTCGCGCGGTACTGACTAAACCGCTTGCTTCCGTATTCTCCACCATTATCCGAACGAGTACAACGGATCTTGGAGTCATACTGGGTCTTTCCTTGAGTTTTTAACATCTTAAACTTCTTGAATACCTCCGACTTTGCCTTGATCGGGTGCACAAACTCCATTCGCAAAAGTCATCGATAAACGTCACGATGTGCTCCTTTCGACGCTGATTTTATTGGTCCCATTACATCACTATGAACAAGCTCGAAAGGGAAGGTGGCCTTCACGTTACTACCGGAGGTATGGCTAAATGGTTTTGCGGCCATCTTTTCACGTACGCACCCACTGCCTTAAAACGGAGACCCTCTACACCTTTTGGTTGAGGTTCGGAACTCCATAACATGCGTTGCTTATCATGTTCAACTTAGCATTAGACACACGATCCAGTCGTGGGTGCCATAATTCTTTGATGCTATCGGCTGAAGAATCGATCTTTGCGCTGCTGGCGGTATCTATGACTAAGAGCCCGACCTGCCAAGCAAATTATCGTTCAACACTAGAAATCACGGTGACAATTGACCCTTTCACTTTATATGGCGGCATGGTCTTGTAAAATTGTACCATGACGCTGCAAGAAGCTAATGCTGACACTGACGATAGCTTGCCGTCCAACTTAGGAGCATACATCACGTTAGTAAGCCTGACTGTTTCCCATTTTCGAGATACAGTCGAACACTGTCGCGAGCTTTGACTTCTACTTGTTGTCCATTGGCTACTGTCACCAAGAGTGAAGAATTTAACTTGACCAGGTTTCGGACATCGCTTCCGTCACTTGATATATGACTGTTTGTACCGCTGTCAAACAACCACGTATCGTGTTCAACTTTATGTGACCGAGTTTTTGCCATAAATGTAAACTTTTCATTGCTTCTAGACCTTCCTTCCGGACAGTTTCTTTTTTGGCACATACCCAATGACACTAAGATACCTGCTTGTCTTCTACAGCACAATATGGAAACTGAATTACCGTCTCGCTTTCTCCGTCAGTCTCGCCTACTTGTTGTAGTACTTCAAAGATGTATGTGCATGCATATGCACATCTACACATGTTTTAATTTATAGACATATACATGCATATTTACGTGCTAGCTTCTGAACTCCGTATTTTGAAGCTCACACAACTGCAACCTTGTTGCATCACCCATTCGTGATAACATTGTCATCCGCCGGTAGAATTCGCATTTTCCCAACGCGTATATTCCCAATCAACGTAGAATAATGTTGTACGTAACACCATCATGTTACATCGACTTCCTTTGTAATAAACGTTAGCAAAATGACAGTACTGAATCAAACAACCAAGTACCATATTTGTCGATCGTGAATTATCGTACAGAAATTAGGCTCATTGTAGCGGAACTACACAGCTCCTTGAATCAGAGGAAGACTTGGTGCTCAAAGAGCGATGTTAGTTCCAGAGAATTATACTTTATGATTCAACAACCGGTAAGCTTAAGGTCCCTGTTCTAAGGAACCGAACGATTCAGTGAATCTACAGCACTTTGTGCTCAAGACTAGATACCCAGGGAGGTGTTGCTAACGATCAACGATCAGAGACGCCTCGTAAGGCAAGTGCCTTAGACAAGATCAAAAGGAGAGCTATACTTTAATCACGCTTAACTCTTTACAACATCTTGATTCTGATATCACCTAATTCAGGCACTCATGTCCTGAATTAAAATCTACAAGATCTTTCCTATCTTGTGGATGACACCGTCCGCCTCTATAAACCGATAAGATATTTTATTTCTCTTTCATCGGGATACCATCCCATGTGTCTGAGACGCAGGGTACTGAGTATTCTACGGTGTGTACTTTCTTTTTTGCGCTCAAAATGACTCGCGTCCGGACAGCGGTGGTAGTATGCATAGCGAGCATTGATATGAGAATTGATTACTGCGAAGCACTGCACGAACTTTATCCAGTACGTCTACTAGGGACAGAGGGGAAGCGGTGGCCTCCTCGTGTTGTATAAGCGCATGATTCACGGAACTGCGCTGCTCTCTGGTGATACGGATATCCCTCTACTATCGTGGACGTCGTGGACGTAAGCGATGTACTTGTCACTGTGTTCGTATGAGCTCTTGATTTCCTATGCCAGTGGCTTGGCACAGGCTTGAGTCAACAAAAAATTTGCACGATGTGCTAAGTCTGTCGTGATTTCGACCGAAGTCGCCGTCGCCGCCAAAAACACGGTACCGGACTTGTACAAATGCAAAGGTGTACTGATAGTGCTCTACTCCTGGCCCTATTTGGAAAGAAAATACATTTAGACGGTAACTTAGCCTATAAAAGCGCGCCACCGTGCCCCTGCATCGCAGCACGACGAGCGGTGAGTGTTGACAGACTCGGTAGGGTTAAAGGTAGAAGTCAGTGTCGCTGTTTTGCATCTTACATCCTACTTGTAGTTTACCTAACGTAGATGCACAACAACTAGTTATCCTAATAAGCAATTGCGCCTCCATACAAAAACTATCTACCCCGGATCAAATATTCCTGAAGTGTCCTTTTGTATGCATAAACACATCAATGTGGTCTGGTTTCACCTGACATCCTGGCTGCATCCGACTACGAACACGCTTGCGACTAGCCGGCGACATATAGACCGACCGCTATTCTTGACCGGCTATGAAGGTGATGGTCAAAACCGACGGGTACGTCTGGATTTGCATGTGACATGCGAAGCGTGTGGCCACGTCCTTGTAGATTTGGATTTTTGCGGGCTATCCGCAGAGTCAATCGTGGTGGTGGTACAGTGGAGTGAACTCAGCAGTCATCGAGTAACATCGGACGACAAGTACTAGTCAGAGCGAATCTGCAGGTTGTAAACATCAGGTGCATCTATGCACGCTGTTCCTGATGTCAACAAAGACAAGACCATGTCGATGATGGGCATAAGGGTAATTGTGCGCGCAGACATTTGAAGGGCGTAATCAGCATGGCGCTCATATTGACGATTGCGACTCTGCAGTTTCTTGGTTTACTGCATGGAAATGGGAGACATTCGCGATACCCACACCCTTGAGAATCCTCGGTGAGTCCCAAACAGAATTTAGTATGCCAATGCACTTGGCAGGGTGTATTTGACAACTTTTTGAAAAGGCAGCTGGTCCATCAGATCCGGCTGAACGACAACGTCTATCCCGACTTTACCGAATCAGATCGACATACGTGCGTCATAGACACGCGTGATTGCGGCTGCACTTTTGGTCATTCCCGTGTACCCGCCAAATGAGAAAAAAAATTGTGACCTGCAAGTGGGAAGGCTCATCACGAGCGCCATTTTTCTGTGCGGTATCGATTATACCGACAGTACGACGAAGGTGGTACGATAGATAGACCTAGTGGTCTAGTGTCGTTTAGGTACACGAGTTGCGCCTCTGCCTCCGTGATAGAACTGTTTGAATAGGGTAATCGATGGAGAAGGCGCCTGGAGATAACGGAATATACAGATACGGCTTATCTAGCGAGCAAACAGTACTAGGTCCAGCATCTGCATGCCCAAAGCTGAAAATCTGAAACCAGCACGATAGACCTGTGCTACTATCGTAGCGAAATCTGCAAAAAGAGTGTCGAGGAGAAATTCGACTACGTATCTCACAGCACACAATGATTTTACTCGAAATACAGTACTTGCAAACACATGATAAATTGTGGAGCTGTTTTCAACGCGGCCGGCACCAGTTGTACGACAAGGCTAAACCAGAGCTAAGGTTTAGAATCCGTGATGAGACTGAAGACTTTATTCTGACCTTGATGCTGTCAAAACGACTGCAGACATCCAAGTTGACTTACACGTTTTCACGACCTTGGTGAAGAGGCGTTGGTCATTATAAGTGCTATTTGCTTGCAGCGCTGTGAGTCAAGCAGTGGTACAGTAGGCGAGTCGGTTGACACCCATCACAATCAAGAGCTATAGAC